ATTTTATTTTTCCTTAAAAAGATAAAAGAAAAGAAAGGTAGAAGAAATAAGGAGTCTCAGTACAATACTTTATCGTAATCAGCTTCAAGCTTGATAAGAGGTGCAAAAACATTTTGATACTGTAACAGGAAAGACAAAATGCCACCTTGTTAATATACAAGAATCAAAATGAAAGCAACTTCACCAAGATTACTAAAAACTGAAGATAGATACAAAACCAAGCCAACAAACACACCTGATAAGCATCTTCATATTTCAATGCTACAGGCTGTGGTTCATCATCCACACCAGGTTTTTCAAGATCTTCAAGGGATGCATCTGGGTTTGTCTTCCAAAGTTCCTCAATCTTATTTATTTGTTGTGCACTAATTTGGCGTGCCCTCAACTGCTCTTGCTCAGAAGGAATCTACAAAGTAAAAGTTTATAGGACAGTGAGAATACAAATACATCACATCACCACATATGAAAGACGTGAAAATCCAGCAGCAAGTTACACAAACCTTAACCAGCCACTGCAAGAAGCACCTATCATCAATAAGAGGGAACCACTGACTCAAGTCCCAATTCATATCCTTCAGAGCATTAACACTTAAGCAAGGTTCCCTACAAAGTAGAACAACCACGCTTTCTGTCTTTGCAGAAATAAATCCAAGGAGGAAAACATTTCTACATCCACAATTGTAACACTCAAGAATTGTTTCTCCCAAAGGACTGTCTTTATGAAGACAAACTTCCTTATGTTTTGCCCGGACCTAAATCATCATATCATTTGCAAAATAACTAAAGTAAGTTCTCGGATAAGAAATCTAGTAACAGAGTTAAAATCCCACCGAAAGAAAAATATTCTTTATTCACAGCACGTGAAGAAACCAATTTCATCTTCCTTCCAATATTAAATGAGTAATGTCTAGTGCTGTATAAGCATAAAGGTGCATTTCATGAAACTTTTGAAGTCCCATTAAACCCTAAAAAACAAGAAAACTATTCCTGACATCTTAATCAATCAGAAGAGATTGCATCCTTAAACTATCTTTTTGGATAAGAACTGCAACCTAAAACTTCACAATAAAGAATTTTCAGATTAAAAAAAAATACAGCAAACCATAATAACGTAAACATGCAACGGGTTAGAAATAGCACTACCCACTCGTGGCACTGACAAAACAGCCGATAAACAGAAAAATATAGCAGCCCGCTTCATGTCAATTTCACCTAGGCTAAACATCCGCAACTTCCATGTAGGATAGAAGGATCATAATAAGAGACTGTCATAATAAACGCCTACTGCACAACACTTCCCACGCGTTCTTCAACATTCACGGAGCAATTTATCATCATAGAGTTTCCACCAAATTCACAAATAAATAATAGGAAGATAAATAGGCATTTTTTATGCAATCTTTCCATCAACTGGAAGGTCACGCGGAGGACACGGGCCGGAAACAAATAACAACGACATGGTAGTGAACTCGAAACATACCAGATGATTCACAATATGCGACCCAGACGTGTTCCCTCGCGAATTGCAGAACCACTTGCGGCATGATGGAACGTTACACCTCACCACGCAAGCCGGGTTCGAAACCCCACAATACCTGCAAGCATGCTCCGTGAAATTCCCCTTCCCAAACTCGTAACTATCGTCATCCCCAGTATCCTCAAATGTCAACCCACTCATCCCGGCCGCCAATGCGTCAACCATTTGATTATTACCACCGGTATTACCCGAACCTCCTCCAGTCCGGCCTTTCGCGGCGCTTCCCGGCGCAGCGGAAACCGGAGACGCATCAGACTGATGATCCGACCCGCCACCGCGGTCCGTATGATCCGCTAACGAATCGGAAGGAGTCGGCCACGCAACAGGGGACCTAATAGGGTCGCGAAATTCGGGATAATCGAAGTCTTCCCCCTGGGTGTTGAACTCAAGAAAGGTGTAAGCGTCGTTCCCGGTGTCGGGTTGAGATGCCGTATCAAACAAATTATTCTGCTGCGACTCCATGGAAATCGTAAACCAATAACAACAGTATGAATCCCAATGGGAAGGAGAGTCAGGATTTAGGGGGTTGAAGTTCGAGGTTTCGAAGAATTGGGAATAAAATTAGGGTTAGGGTTTGGCCTGGCATAACGAGAGAGAGAGAGAACTGGAAGATGGAAGTGAGAAAGGTAAAGAGAGTAAAAAAATAAAAAAAATAACACTTTTCTAAAAAATAAATAAATAATAATAGAAATAGAGCGCCGGTTTGTTCAGTTCACGCGCGGAGGTGATTGGATAAAATTTGGTGGGTCCAATCGTGACGTGGCAAGTTAATACTCTACGCTGTGCAAAAAGAACCGCACGTGTGGCGCGTGCACTCATGTTTTGGCTACGAAGGTATAATTTCTTTTTCTTTTTTGCATTTTAATTTTTTTTATTTTATTATTTTCTAATTTATTTTCTTTCTAGTGATAAATATTAAAATTGATTGATGATATACTTGACATGATAAATGAGAAAAATGGTCCGCATATTTTCTACCTACTTGCTTTAGTCCTTATACTATCGGTTTGTGTTCATTTTAGTTTTCTTTTTAACGTATATTTTGTTATTCATTTTCTAAAAATCAACCATTTTATTCATTTTCATTTTTATCTCGTTTATTTCGATCAAAATTTCAGCATTACATTTAATTTTCTAAATTCCTTGAAATGTAATCATACATTTGTATTGAGAGGTTTTCATTGTGTATAACAAGATTGTGTTAAAATTTTATAAATATGAATCAAATTTGTTACTTTTTAAAAGTATAGAGTATAATATATGAACAAAAATAAAAAATAAATTCATCCAAATTAACATTTGAAATTACATTGACTAAAATGAACTAAATAAAGTACATGAATCAAAAGAGTACTTAAACCCAATATTTCTCATTTCATCCACAAAATGTGCGAGGAATTACTAGAAATTTAAAGGGTAACATTTTTTATTCTCTAAATTTTCATCAATTCACCGAGCATTATGTCATTAATAATCATCATTAAGTGTAAAATATGTTAAAACGTCTTTCTTATTTCTAAAGATCAAAAACCTTTGCTCCCCATATTTGTTGTAATAACGAAAAGTAGGAAATTTCATAGGTTATAAATTTTAAAATTATATAAATAGAATTTTTATTTTTAGTTTAATGAAACCGAACTAACCAATCTTTTTGTTCAAACTATTCGTTTAGAAATTTAAGGGAAAAAAGTAATTTTACTTTCATAGTTTAATGTTTTGTTTTGGTCTTAGAAATTTTCTATTTAAATTTAAAAATTTTGCATGAAATTTATTTAACTTGCTGTCATTAATTTTTTTTTGGGAAAACACGAATGCCACCTTTAATCAGAAGAAAGTATATCAATTTTTACCACAAACTTTCAATTTCATCACATTGCACTTTCTTTAATCAATCAAGTTGTACTTTAAATATGGATAAGTGTTTGCAATATTCGTACCAAATTTCTAAAAATGTTATAAAATTTACCATTTGGTAGGTTTTTGTTTAAAAAATGATTGGAAAAAGTGTTGTTAGATGTGTCAAATGAATTATAAAACGTATATTTATATGACATTAATATAATTTAGACAAAATCAACATTATAGCTTAGTTTTTTCGATTAAATTTATAAGTTAGTTTGCAAAGTTATTTAATGGTTGATTTTACACCCGAATCAAATATAATTTCGTGTAAAACATAAATTTCGTTAAATTAGTGGATTTTTCTAGTATTGTACCTTTCGTAATTAAAATTAGTTAGTTTCTTGAATTAGTAAACATTAAATAGGAAGTAAAACTTACAACACTTATTATTATTTTTTTATGGTAGAAAATATGAGTATTTTAACAAACGGAAGAAATTGCCACATTCAAAAGCCAAATCGATAAAACTAATATCCAACACTTCCTTTAATTCATGATTCATTTTCACTGAAAGTTGATAAGATTTGCTAAAAATTGGTTGTTCCCTTGATCACGTGGAAATTATTTAATAAAAGCCAATATATATATATATATATATATATATATATATATATATATATATATATATTTATAATTCCCTTTTTTTAAATTTATGTAATTCATTTGATGATTACACAATAAACCAAGTTTTGGTTTTGATAATGACAAGCACAATGCATCACCGAAGATTTAATCTCTGATTCCCATATTTATTGTACTACGATGTCAACAAACTATTTTATTTATTTATTATTATATATTTTTTCAACAAAAGCTATAATTAGTTATTTTAATTTTGATATTTTGCTTGTAGATATTACATTCATCTTGATCGTGTCTAAAAATTAGAAGTTCGATCTCTCGTCCCCATTTTTTTTCTTGTACTAAAAAACAATAATAATTAGAGCAAGACTTAATGGATACAAAAATTATACGTTTGAAACAGTATGAACTTTTAAGTTCAAATGTTCATCCACACCCAACTTTTGTTAAATTAAAAATTGGATAGATGTTGTAGTTTGTTCAATAACCTTTTCTAAAAAAGACTTCCAATTAGACTTCATCTACTAAAAAGTAATAAAATAGAGCAATCATAGTCCGTGTGGACATTTCAAACTCTCAACTAAAAAACAATATGCCAAACAGGTAATTGAATTCAATGAATATGAAATCAAGAAATAAATTTTACAAATTTAATCAAATTTAGTAGAACATTCGTTCTACTTAATCTTGTAAGTATCCTGAATTATGTGAATTAGTTACTATTGTGATCGTAGTAGGATTAACGTCACTCGAACAAGATCACGAGGGCTCAAGAGCCAATTGTTGTGTGGATGGTAGTTTTACATCATTGGATGTATCAAAATGTATTTCAAACCTATATCGAGTAGTTACTAAGAAGCATTCAAATCTCGAAGCTGCATCTAATAGTCATCGACATTGTGACAGCCACCTTCAATCATTTTTCTTATACGACACACAAGAAGTGTCGTCTTATGAAATCGACTTCTCGAAATGCAAATACGTGGAAAATAGCTGATATGTGGCATGTCTTAAATGCAATTGAAGAAAATAAAAGTACAAATGGTATTATATTTGAAAGGCCTTCCAATGACCTTTAGCACATTGACAATGGTGCCTAAAACTATTTAACCATCCTATTTTGACTGTAATAGGATTGGTATTAAGAGCTAAAGCTGAAGAATAAGAAGGTTCTTTCTACAGCTAAGTTATTCAAATATTAGATAGAGAATACCAGTTAATTGATCAATCATTCCATAAAGACGATAGATTGATCAAGCATTATTAGCTGTACCTCTATTCTTATCGAGTTCGTCCAAAGCTGCCCACAATTTTGAATCGTCGTAGTCCTTTATGAGGAGGGCGGGCTTTGCTTGCATCAGCAAGTGCTCGGGATTTCTCGTAGATATACCGACAACAGGCATCCCGGCTGCCACTCCAGCTTTGATCCCCGATACAGAATCCTAACAACACAAAGCAATCGAGATGTCAAATTCGAAATATGATGATCCGACACTCGGGCAAAAAGAGTGCAATCCAAAGGAAGGCAGACCTCAAAAATGAAAGTGTGATCCTTTGACACCTTGAGTAGTTCAAGAGCCCTTAAATATGGGTCTGGATGTGGTTTGGCATGCTCACATTCATCACCTATAATAATGGCCTCGAAAAAATCCGAAAGACCAAGCATGGAGATCATGAGCTCGGCGTTTGGTCGAGGGGCATTTGTAACTGCAGCACGTTTTAACCCGTTGTCTTCTATCCATTTCTTCACTTTATACAAGCCACTCACAGGTTTTAATTGTTCAGTAACTAATCTGTAAAGCATTAAGTTCCTCAGTTACATCGGTCTCAGACTTATATGAAACATTTTAAGATATGAAGAGAAAGATATACCTCCTAAACATAGCCTCCTTCTCGTCACAAAATTTCAAACCTCGTTCAAAATCATCAGGAAAGATCGCTCGGGCAATATCATCGTTATGCTTGCCAGCAACATTTTTAATGAAAAACTCCTCATCAATTGGAACCCCACCATTAAAACCAATCTGCAAATCATATCAGCATCTGTTACCGCCCCATATTTCTTCAAAATATCAATGATCCAGAGAAAGTAACATGTGGTTATACAATTATGCCTCGTGATATTTTTCTATATCGAAAAAAATTACTATTAACATGTGGAAGTGACCACCAGAAGGCCGTAGGGTTCATGATTCCAAAAAAAAATTCCTTAAAACCTGAAAATACATGAGATAAATCAGTATTTTGTATGTTTTTTTTTTAAGAAATCTAAACTAAACTCATTCGGAGGCATTTTCAGGATTGAAGGGTATATATAATATAGGCAAGGTCTAAAATTCTAATTTATATTATGAGTTTAGATCAGATTAACTACTGAAGGGCTTAAGTTCTTGAACTTGTCACCTTATCATCTTTACAACTTTAATTTCTAAGATAGAAATAACAAGTGATTCATTTGTCCTATGTATGGATTCTCAATAAAAAACCATGATAGAACAAAAAATTGCTCATAGCATGATTATAGATTTAAATTCAAGTGAACAAGGAAGACGATTTCTCTTTATTTTGTTTTCCTTTCATAGGTACAACACGGCACCAACCTCTTGAAGCATTTCCCGGAAGGCATGGTAATGGAGAGGATCTGAATCACACAATGTTCCATCTACATCGAACAGAACGGCTTGCACAGGAGCGAGTGCGGTGAGAGGGCTTTTGCTGGCTCCACACAGTGCAAGCAATAAGGAAAACAGAATAGTACAGGCAAACCAAACTCATGAAGGCAGTAAAAACACACAAGGAAAAACAACAAAGGTGCTTGGTTGAACCGTTGAACTTTTTTACTCAGTCTTGTGTTCGACTGGAGACTTGTTATGAACAATGTTCCATTCTCGTGCTCTTATTTCTCTTGAGACAGATTATTTAGGTTAAATAAATATTTCATTCCCTATGGTTTATGCTTGGTTTTAATTTAGCCCATATAGTTGGGTTAACTCTCCCAACAAAGTTTAACAGATTTTTTACCGGATATGATCATGTATGTTTGTGGTTTTGTGGTATACTGAAATGTTATGAGTTGAAATAAAAGCATGTATGTTTTGTGGTTATGCAGCATGCTAGAATGATATGAGTTGAATCTTGCATGTGGGTTCATAGAATCATGTTGTAGGAATGGATTGTGAGTTTCAGAATTATATGGGGAAGAGAATGGGTGAGTAGCAGTGCCTCAAATGGAAATTGACGGGGGCTGGTATGTCACAGCTATCAACCACTCGGCCATCTCTCCGAAAGATAATTTCTATTTGATTTATATTCGATCCCATCGAATAGAACATTGACATATAAGTTGATACTATTACTGTCTATACTATAGAAAAATATCAGGCGTGAATCAATAAGTCTATCTATATGTATATATAGATATATATGATCCAGTATCCCCCCTTTTGTGAAGTAAAAAAAGACTACCCTCAATCCCATGCACGCTAAAGTATTAAAAAAGTAAGAAGTAATGAAGTAATATAGAATCAATGGATTTATGGTAAAATCCCTCCATGATACATTTTATAAAAATTTTGGCTGGCTGGTAAAGGGATCAAATGGTATATTTTGTTGGTAGATTGGAGGATTAGAAACATGACTATTGCTTTCCAATTGGCGGTAAAAATCGTCAAATGTCCATGCTGCAATTCGAAGTCTTGGGTAAAAAGGTAAAATGGTCGAATGCCAAGTTCTTAGAGAAGCGTCTAGGCTCTAGGTATAAATTATTAGAGGTCAGTACGATGACTAAACAATCATACGTTGAGTATTGGATTCAAGGTATCACAGGGTGAGAGCATCAGAATTTGGTCATACACAATTGCCAGAAATTTATAGCCCTTGAATGATCTAAAATAATACACCAAATTCTTCAACCGTCGAAATAAATRACTTCACTGTTCTCTTTTTAGCCCCTGAAAAGTATGTGGTCCTAACCAATCTTACAAACATGGGGGCCGCTGAATTTGACAGCAAAAACTTACGTATGAGACATCTCTGTGGAAGGTTCAATTTAACAAACTGGAAAAGAAAATTCACAGATTAAAAAAACAAAAGAAAAAAAATCTAAGAATACAGAAACGCTTTCGAGAAACATTGAARTCAGTTAAATTCTCACAAGACAATAAACCTCGAGAAATAGATCTAATCGCATGAACAAAAAGCAATCTCCAATCTCCAATCTCAAATCTCAACAACAGCCACCACCAGAATGCATCGGAAAATTCGGCCATAAATAATTAATTAGCGATCATACGCGCAAGTTTCATATTGAGATTAGAAACAAAAATGCATTCAAATTCAATCAACCGAGACACAAACCAACTGGGGAGTGCAATTTACCTGTCGACGGAATTTTCATCTTTTGAAACCGTCATCGTCGGCGGAGATACAAAAGCTTCTTCTGGGTGTTGAAAATTTGTGTTCCTCTGGAAATGGGTATTCAGAAACGGCGAAAATGGAGATGGGAATTGGGAGAGTTGAGGAAATTCAGGTTTTATATAGACGTGGGAGGAGCATGAGGACGAGAATCTACCACAGGAAAAAAGCGACTACTCTGTCACATATACCTTTTCTTTGAACTGTTCTGTAATCTGCATATATTAATTATTGAATTTTATTATTTATTTATTTTAAAATTTATAGTAATACGAGAACACGATCCTCGCGGTTATACAGATCTTGGTGGTAGTAGATGTAGGTGTTCTAGGATGAGCTAAATAAAATTATTTATAAAAGCAAAAAATGTATTATCGTAATATTAGATTTTTCTCACGAATCATATCTCTAACATAGTATTAGGGATCTTAGACTCTGATTTACATATTGTTTCTAAAAAAAAATATTTTGATTTTTATATTTTCGACTTTTATTTATTTTGATACTTTATTCCCAAATGTCAACTTTAATCTCTATATTTTCAATTTTTTTCATTTTAATTTATGTAATCTTAAAATATTCATTTTGATCTGATTAACTTAATTGATATTTATAACATTTTATACATAATGAAAATTTTATAATACAAATTTATACTACAAAATCACCTTTTCTTTTGAATACAACTTTCCAGGAAAATTGGGGGAATATTCGAAGAAAATTCGTTGTATCACTTTTTTTTATTCTTCTTCTTTGGGGAAAAAATGGCCTTGAGAAAAGTCACGTCATGAATCAAAGCATCGTAGCAGCCCCCACTATCAGCCACATACTTTTCACCTGCCTTCCCATCCTCACACGTCTCTCTCTCCACGTGGAAAATTACTTTTGCTTTTAAATTCCTTTCGATTTTAAATAATAATATTTCGACATCTCAATGACACGTCATCTATTAAATTTCGATTTTTTTTCCTATGTATAAAATTTTTGTAAATAATGATCACCTTTGAAAGCAGAATGATTAAAACAGCTAAAATGAGTGAAAATTGAAATTACATAAACTAATATAGATGTAATAAATATTTTGAAAGTATATAAATTAAAATGAATCAAAGTTAAAAATATAGCATTTAAACCAAATAATAATGAGAGCCAATCAAATGTTACATCTAAAACTATATACTTGACAATGCAATACATTTCGGAAAAGAAAAAATTACTACCATTCTTTATATTAAAAGATTAGATATTACAAATATTCTAAAAACCCACCACCCAACATTTCCAATCATTTTCATTCCAAACCATCCAGATTCCTTGGGATGGTGATTTAAGAATAATCAAAACTCCCCGCTATTACTGCTATTACTTTTGTGTCAAAGCAAGCATAGTTCAATTGATGTGTCATTTATATAAAATTTCTCTCCAATCCAAATTGATATCAACACATTACCAGTAAACTTGGAAGAACAGGTACAGTTAAAAACTTAAAATCTGACAAAACTCACCCATACACTTCTGAATTAGAAGGCTCTACCTACATAGACCTTTATATGGAATACCTAACTATGCACCTTGGTGAGCCATGGAAGTTAAATAAAGTCGACCAATTTAGCATTTACACATACCTTTGTGTTGAAGGTTAGCTCTCATAGTCATCATTTCTTCCCCTTGTCCGAAGAAGACATGTCATGTAAGAAAACTGTTAATGACAAAAACATTTCAGGAAACTTAATCAAATAAACTTTAAAACTAAATTAAATTACTAGTTTAGTCATTTAACTTCTAAGTTTTTAATAGGTCCTTAAACTATATAAAACATATGATAGGTCCTTTAATTATCAATCTCATATCTAAAAATTGTCTAGTAGGTCCTTGGAGCTGTGTCTAATAGCTCAATCAAATAGATACTCTGGAAGTTCGGGACCTATTTTTTTTTGGGATAGGAAACAAATTTCATTGATGGCATGAAATTACAAAAAATAATAAATCCTGTCCATTGAAGTTACAAAAAACTTCTCCTATTGGATATGAGAGATCAAACTGTGGATGTACATATTTGCACCAAGATAAAGCCAAAAAATGGATAGTTGTTGTTGATGATGCTCAATGTCCTTGAAGAGTCTAGAATTCCTTTCTTTCAATATAGTCCATATATATGCTCTGTTGATGTTCAACCATAATGTAGCCCTTTCATTCCTGAATGGGTGGTGTATAGAACTAGAATCCATCCCATCCTTGATACTGTTTGGTAAGGCCATCTGCCAGCCGAACATGGAGAGAAAGAAAGACCAAATTCTGGAGGACAGTGAGCAAAACATGGAGGTGTGAGTGTTTCCAAATTTGCTTTACTGAGACAGCACCAGGAAGGAGAGATGGTCCCGCTAGGGCGCCTTTTCTACAGCTTATCAAAAGTATTTAGGCAGATGTGGCTGGGCTCCTAGATCAAGAACTTTACCTTATTCGGGTATTTTGAACTCCAAATGGATTCTAGAGGCGAGATCTGGGTGTGTTTTGGTTGAAATGGTGGGTTAGTGATTTGACAAAGAAGATACCGTCTTTTTCAATCCTCCAAACCCAACGGTCGCTTCTTTTTGTGGCGAAAAAGGATGATAATATGGAGGATAAAGACATCCGTTCCTGTATTTCATCATCATTGAGAATTGAGATTCCTTCGGAAGTGCATATTCCATGCCTTAGAGTTGTCGTCCCATAATTCTGCAACAGAAGCTAGTTTTTTCAGAGTCTATTGATACAATAGAGGGAAAGCACTCATCAGTGGGCTTGTACCAATCCAGAGATCTAACCAAAAGAGGGTAAACTGTCCATTTCCAACTTTGCAGTAAATGTTGGTGTAGATCAGAGAGCCTTGTTAGTTTGTCTGTAAATAGACTTCCAAGGGCCTTCGGAGGAATTTAATGACTTGTCATCTGGCTTTAAATCAAAATGTTTGACCCCGAATTTTGCAAGAATAACCCTTCTCCAAAGAGCCTGTTTCCCAATATGAAACCGCCAAATCCATTTGGCTAAGAAGGCCGTGTTCCATAGCTTCAAGTCAATAACGCCGAGACCTTCCACATGTTGTGGCAACTTTACTTTTTCCCATCTGAGGAGATGGATGCTATCTTTCTCCTTGTTCCCCGCCCAAAGAAATTTCCGAAACAAACTTTCAAGGGAGGCAAATACTTTAGAAGGAAGGTGGAAAAGGGAGGGGTATTAAAGTGGGAGACTAGCAAGGGCAGTGGGACCTATTAAGACTGCACAACCAAAGTTTGAAGAAGAAACTTATAATTTAACCTTAAAACTAAGGATCATATTCAAACCAAGAACTAAAATGGTAAGTAAGCCCATAACTTTATGTTATGGTACGTTTAGGTATTTTTGTATATTAACAAAGGAAGAAACAGCGAGATGAAAGAACAAATACTACCCTTGGAATCTTGTTAAATTTGCATATTTGCCGTATCAAATATAATATGGAAAACAATTCCTGAATAGCTAATTAAGAACGAAAATACAAATAAGAAAACTTGACCTCGAAAAGATCTGATATGTCACTGCAGGAAATATCTTCCATTTAAGCACACCCTTTCACGTTACATATCAGACACAGACCAAAGATATGCTTCCCTTTCTGTAGCCCGTTTCTCGTTCATCCTCTTGAACATTTGCTTCTCGAATCCTACAAGAAAAACCAATTAAACAATGTAAGAACATGGCTGCAAGATCAGAACACAGAATCAACGACGGCGTTTGTTGTTTTTCAAGCACATTGCAGTTAAAAAGGATATACAAAGGGCTGACTGACTTTTTTTCCCTGGTTAAAAATTATATATTTTGCCCTAAACTAGAATTATTTTTAAGGTTTAAATACTATTTTGATACCTATGCTTTCAGCTTTGGTTCATTTGGTCCTTATACTTTCAAAAGGTCCATTTTGGTCCCCGTACTATCAACTTTTCTTCAATTTAGCCCTTGTACTTTTAAAACATCCATTTTGGCTGCTATACTTTTAAGTAGGTCCCTATTTGTAATATTTTAACACAAATTTTATACACAATGAAAATCCCTTAATACAAATGCATGAATGCATCTCTTAGTTAGTAAAGTGTAATGTTAAAATTGTGATTGAAAGAAACAAGAATTAAGAGACCAAAATGGTCACTTTTTAAACCTATTTTAAAATTTTGTCCTCACACTTGGAGAAGTTTCAATTGTACCACTCAAGAGTCTAATCTGCTTATGGGTCTAATCTTGCTCGAGTCTAATCTTTGATGCCACAATTTTTTGGGCTGGGTAAGACAGTGAGCACCTTTTTTTTTTTTTATAAGAAACCAAACTTTTCATTGAGAATAATGAAAACAAACGGGCATACAAAAACAAAGCCCTAAAGAGGGAAGCCAAACTAAAGAAAGGGCCTCCAATCCAAAAGAATATGACCTAACTGACAGTTACGAAACAATTTCGAAACAGACCCCCATAAAGAAACATTAAACCTTATGAGGTCCCAAACAGACAGTGATCATCTTAAATGATGGACACCAAGCAAGAATATAGAAATGAACCACAAATGAACTAACCATTACTACGATCGACTCCATCCCAATGTCTTCCTGGTCTTATACCGTATCGATTAGGGGCAGCATCCAATCCTCTTTTTAGCCAGCTGTGTGCTGGAATGTCCTGAGGAATAATGAACCCTGATTCCCTCATTTTCTCACTGTCTCCTAGATCAAGAAGAGCCATTTCGGATTTCTTTTTCTGTAATATGTCCAAGGCAAAAGGTCAAACCTAATATCAATTATTAAACTTCAACTCATTTTAGCATTTCAATTAATTACCTTCACCAAATGTGCCATAGGATCACCCCATCTCACTCTATCCCTCAACATTGAGTCGAGCTCAGCATCATTCCTGAAAACAATTGGGCAGACATTAAAGAGCCTTCTAGTCCCATAAAAGTACAATGACATTTACACTTGGATTCAACTTTCAAGAATTCCGGACATTAGCAAAACTCAGACAATAATGAATCCTAAATGAAGGAAATAAGAGGCAAGAGGATAAAGATATCAAAATCAGAGATTATTCAATAGATGCACCCATAGGCCCGTGGGAAATTTGGTTAAATGGTCTTGGACAGCGCTGCCTACTAGGCGGGGGGGCCTTGGAGTGGGCTCCCTTGAGTTGAGGAACAAAGCACTTTTGATGAAGTGGCTTTGGCGGTTTGCTTTAGAAGGAAAAGCCTTGTGGAGAAGGGTTATCGCTGCTATATATGGGGTGAATTCACATGAGTGGTTTACTAAATGCAACACAGGCTCTTCGATTGGAAGACCTTGGATAGATATTGAAAGTGCGCGCAATGGTTTTATGAATGTTGTAGCTTTCAAGGTGTCCTCGGAAATAGAGTTCGTTTTTGGGAAGATACTTGGGCAGATTCCTCCCCCTCCCCCCTTGCCACTGTTTTTCCCGACATGTTTATGCTGTCTAACAAGAAGGATGCTTCGATTTCAGAGTGTTGGAATTATATTTCTTTTTTTTTATAAGAAACAAAGAGAATGCATTCAAATCAAAAGAGCCCAAAAAGGCGAGAACAACCTAAAGGCGGAGGGTAGAGAGAACACTCCCCAAAGAGAACTATAAAATCGCATTCTTCCAATCCTGTGAAATAAAAAAAAGACTGTAGTTTCCAAAAGCCTTCTTGTGGATTGTGGCACACCAAGAAGCTGTATGCTTTGTATTCACAAAAAAAAAATCTAAAGGGACAGATTTGTCCTCAAAAAGTCTACTATTTCTCTCTTTCCAAAGATGCCAAAGGAGAGCGCTGCACAGAAACCTAGGATTTGGCTGCCAAAGCCCTCGCTGCCAAAGGAATTCTGTTTCTCAAACGTGGGATTTGGCTTTTAGAAGAAACCTCTTCGACAGAGAACTAGATAGCTGGGCTACTTTTACTGAAAAGTTGGATGGAGTGCTACTTGGGCCGGGTCAAGACAGAATGTGGTGGAAGGAGGATCCAAGTGGGGTTTTTTCAACTAATTCAGCTTTTTTGGCCCTGAACTTCCCCTTCTCCAAAAATGAACACTTCCATTTCGTTGCAGATTTGGAACTTTAAGGTTTCAAAGAAAGTAAAAGTGTTTTTGTGGTCGATGTTCTATCGGGGGATTAATACAGCCGACAAGCTTCAGCGTAGACTTCCCACATGGTCTCCCTCACCGTCGGTGTGTTTGTTATGTAATAAGGATTCCGAGACACTAGATCATCTATTCCTTCATTGTCAGGTGGCTTCTTCAGTGTGGTTGTACTTTGTTGCCGTGGTGGGAGTGTCTTTTTGTTTCCCACGAAAGATAGATGAGTTTATTTCAGAAGGCTTCGGGGGAAGGGCCCTAAGGGGTAAAGCTTTTATTCTATGGAATTGTATGGCTAGAGCCTTACTTTGGCTTTTGTGGAGAGAAAGGAATAGTAGACTTTTTGAAGATAAGAAGTCCTCGGTGGATTCTCTTTGTGTGAATATACAGCATATGACTTCTTGGTGGGCTTCCATCCATAAGAAGGTTTTTTGTAATTATAGTCTTCAAATGATTATACGGGATTGGAAAGCTGTGATTGTATAGTTCTTTGGGGAGGGTTTTCTCAACCCTCTGCCTTTATTCAGTTTTACCTTGACCGTGCAAATGGTCTATCCTTCTCGAGTTCTAATTCCATAAGTTCAGCTTCTGCTTCCCGTTTCTGAGCTAAGCCCTTGCCCCATTCCAACTTTATCTCCTGAGAGGTAAGATCAAAACAAGCAGGCACAATGAGATTAGATAAAAGCATAGGTTATGGTAAGAACTTTATCTCCTGAGAAGGAAAATCATCACAAGCAGCCACAATGAAATTTGATAAAATCGTAGGTTATGATAATAACTCTTCTCTAATTTCAATCCTCCAAAATCACAATAAAATTTTTTTTTTAACAGGAAACGAACTTTTCATTGATAAATGAAAAGGAACATAAAATGTTCAAGGATACAAACTCCAAAGGAGTGAGAAAGATAAAACATAAAGTTGAAACAAAATAAATAAAATTCCAAAGGAGAGCTAAAAGATCCAAAATCACAATAAAATTAAGTTTACCAAAAGACACATGTAATGTTTAATGATGTTACAGTAATATCTTTTACATATTCTAGGTCCCTAGCTTCTTTCCCTTCATCAATCAAGCTATTTGATACCCAGAGCATTTACAGAGAGCATTTACAGAGAGCAGAGAGAGAGAGCAGAAACAGTTAACGTTACAGTCTAACCACTCGATAAAAGTAACATAAAAGCACCCTGAAAACCGATAGACACTGTAACCCATAGCAATAGTAACATAGGACTCAAAATGACATCGTCAAATTTTCTAAGTACCTTGGGCTTTTCTTCTATTTTTCCTCGTGATTTTAAGAATTCCTCTTTTGAAATGCGATCCCCTGCAATTTTTAAAGTGTGAGGTAGATAATATCACATAATGCCAATTTTCCTACAAGATAAAGAAAGGTGAGATTTCAATTCTCCAACCTTTAATCCTGTCACGATATACAGGCTCCGCATTACTACTTGCCGAAGGATTCATCTCTTTAAACCTAGAAGAAGTAAGAACAAACATGGTTATCCCACAATTAGTAAATCCATATAGAAATTGAAAACTATTAGAAAAGCATTTTCATTTTGCAAAGCATGACCATGCAAGGCATAAGCACGTTTCACCATGCTTCTCAAAGAAAAATGAAATGAAGTCTAAATTAAAAAATTAAACACAAGGGACGCATTAATAAGAGCATACAAAGGGGGAGATGAGATATCCTCACAAGGTCAAAGGGTTACAAAAAGGAGTCCCAATGGGCTAAATGGCATTTAAAAACCATATTTCTTTGATCATTACAAAAGGGACGCATTTTTTGTGGCCGACTTGTTTTTTTACTACTTTATGGGGTATTTGGCGAGGAATCATAGATTGTTTAGGGGGTAGAGAAATATGTGGACTATGTATGAGATCTCATTAGATTTAATACTTCGTTATGGGACTCGATTTCTAAGACCTTTATTCGTTAGGCCTCATTCTTTTAGATTGGAGTCCTTTTCTTTAGGGGGCTTCCTCTCTCTGGGCAGCCTTTTTGTTCTTCTTGTATCTCTTTTCATTTTTCTCAATAAAAGTGTTGTTTCTTATAAAAAAAAATAATAAGGGTTTGAAACAATTATCAAAACCAAACTATAGTTTCTCCATCATGAAGCATAATTAGACATGCCATCAAATTATAAAACTCAATGAAGGGAACTATGGACAAGCACTACAAAAATGTCATCCAAATTCCAAAAAGTCTATGGACGCATTTTTTGTGGCAGACTTGTGTTTTGGCTACTTTATGGGGTATTTGGCTGGAGAGGAATCATAGACTGTTTAGGGGGTAGAGAAATTTGTGGACTATGTATGGGATCTCATTAAATTTAATACTTTATTATGGGACTCGGTTTCTAAGACCTTTATCCGTTAGGCCTCATTCTTTTAGAGTTGGAGTCCCTTTTTTATGGGACTTCCTTTCTCTAGGCTGCCTTTTTGTAAGCCATTTTTGTTCTTCTGGTATCTCTTTTCATTTTTCTCAATGAAACTGTTGTTTCTTGTTAAAAAAAATTAATAATAAATAAGGGTCTAAAGCAATGATCAAAACCAAACTATAGTTTCTCCATCATGAAGCATAATTAGACATGCATCAACTTATAAAACTCAATGAGAACTATGGACAAGCACTACAAAAAAGTCATCTAAATTCCAAAAAATCTCTCTCTCTTAACTATTCTAATTTTTTGGCCATTTGTATGTTCTGGTCATAGGATATCCTATTTCATTAAAAACTTGCCATCCAATTTTCGAATCAAAATTGCGGAAAAGGAAGATAATTATGATGGACAAAAAATTCTTAGACAGAAGCGCCTATTTAACCCATAATATTTTAAGATAAAATGATGTAGTATTCCAGCCATCACATGAACATTGTTACCTCGTCCAGTCCTCTTTATTAGTTTTAGACATTTCTTCCCCAAACTCTTGCTGAGTAATCAAACCAGTTTTGCGTGGCTGTTTAAAGGAGACTGAAACAGGCAGCGGCTTTTGCTTTTCCCGACGTGGAGAAACATCCGACGGCAAAGATTCACGTGAAGCATCAGTAACAACACGATTCCTCGAATGCTGATCTGAAAGTGATTGATTCCCCCTCACATCCTTCCTCTGTTTCCTTGGAGGTGAAAGATCAGATCCACGTGATATATGAGCATCATCTGCATAATCAGAAGTTCTGCGTCGAGGAGGAGAAAGGTCAGACAACCCTGCAGCCTTGTGGTTGCCCCCTAAACTTGCTTTAGACGTATGCCTATCTGATCTACGAGGAGGTGAAATATCAGATTGTGGGGAAACAGATCGTACAGTTTGTTTTTCATCAGGTTCAGGTGAGGGAGTATGGTAACGCTTCCTTCGCTGTCGTGGAGGTGATAGATCAATATCTTCTTGTGCAGAATCCAAATGCCCTGAGTTAGCTCCTTGTAAGGGTGAGTCTCTATAAACCTTCTGCTTGCGTGGTGGAGATGAGTCGGAACTTGGGTAAGCAGAGCTTGTGGGCTTTTCATCATGTTCAAGCGAGGTATGATGTTGGCCCTGCCTCCTCCATACAGGTGAAATATCGTTACCTTCTTCACCAGATACTGGAGGCTCCAACTCATTGCGTGGAGAAGGCGTATCATTCCGAGCCCTTCTTCTACGAGGTGGAGATATATCAGAGTTCACCGTGCTAGAATTTGCACGGTTTGGAGAGAGTGAAACCCAACCACTTCCATCTTCACTTATGGAATTATATGGGCGCTTGGCTTTTAGTTCTTCGAGCCTCCTCATTCGCTTAACCTCAATATCTTCATCAACTTGGGGCTCCTCATCTGCATTGCAGGAGAATGGGGATGTAAAAAGAATGGCCAAATTTTCCCTAAGACAAATATACACATTCATAAACCACGCTAATACTTTACCGGTCGAGTTATCAGCATTATCCTCTTCAATAATTATTGGTTTCTGCCACACAGGATCTTGATCCACGACTAGAACACCTAGAGCATTCGGTTTCGTTGCTACTGTTGTCTTCTTCTTTTTCTTCTTCTTTTTCTTGTCCTCTTCAGTGTTACTTTCATAGCGTTTAAGATATTCCTTGAGGGAATTTGATTTGTTCGCAGACATCATTCAATCTCCACAACCCTGCACACTTTAATTAATCAATTTCAATTACGTGATACCAAAGAAAAGCAAAGCCCTCGAAAGACCATATACTTCAATACAAAAAGATCTCGCAAGGTATATATGGAAAAAAACCATGATGGTAATTAATTAAGGTAAAAATTAAATAAATAATTCTACTGTTAAGAAAATAGAAAATTAAAAGTTAACTCTTACAAAAATTCAAAGAAGTTCTTGAACTTGCAGACATGAGATTCGATTATCAAGCATTAACTACAACAAGTTATACCTCGCAACTACTAAAAAAAAGTTCGTCGAAATCAAAGAATATCAACCTCCAATAATGAACCACTCAAACAAAAAGTTCATGAGACATGTTTCTACTAAGATCTCTGCTAATTTGATGATACTAAACACCGTCTACATCTGATAACGAATAAGCTAGCAAAAGAATTGCAAAGAGAACGTCCGGAATCCCAAAAGGAGAAATGCGACTGCCATTTGCAAAGACATTAAACCATTAATCTGCTACTTACTCTCGAAAATTTGAGATTCAAACAACAATTCGTAACTGTGAGCGATAATGGGGTTGATCAAAAACACACAAACAAACATTTAATCGCGATTGCAGCAATCATATTACTCGGGAACAAACCTCGAAGCAGCCGAGGGAGTGAGATTGACGGCGACGGACGATAGAGAGAGAGAGAAGTCCGGTGAGAGAGGAGCGATTACCGGAGCGCGCGATTGATGATTCTGCTGCGGAGAAGCGAGCTGAATGTGAGTGAAATCGCAGGGGATTCGTTTTTTTTTTTTTTTCCTCTTGTAATTTTCAATTTAGTCCCCCATCTTCTAAAATTCCCAATTTTACTCCTGGAGACATTTTTCGAAAATCTAGATAGAATTATATGGTATAGAAATGTATTAAAATTTCGTATTGTTTCAACAATTCCCTTACATATCATCATCATATAGTTATGTTAACATATATATTTTTTAATTATAAGTTAAATCATTTGAATTAATTCAAAATTTTTCTTTTACTATTTTTTTAAAGAATTTTGTTTTTACTAATTTAATATTATATTTCTATTTCAATTTGGTTTATATTAGGTGGCTAATAATATAATAAAATACTTTTATGTCAATTTTAAACAATAAAATAAATCAAAGATTTTAAAGATTGCCACTAGAGTTCAATTTAAAATAAATTAAGATGTTATACCGTTGATTAAAGTTCATTTTACACCTGAATATAACATATAAATATAATTGAATTTATTCATTTATCAATAAATTAGTGTATATGTTTATTTTTAAAATAAAACAAAATAATAAAAATAAAGAATATGGATGAAAATAATATATAGAATAAAAATGACATGAAAATTTTGACAAAAAAAAGGTCAGTTCAATGGCCCTTACGAATTAGCAGTTTTTGATCCCTCCAATCGTGTTCTTGATAAAGCCCTTAACATAGAAATCTTAAAAACTTGTGTTGCAAGAAAACATCTAAAATTGCGAAGACTCTTGTAGGGACATCCTACAACGTCCTATTATATTAAAACTTTTTAATCAAACATTATTATAAACAAAATTATAAAAATTTATTAACAATGCACTGATATATCATTAAATTATTATTTTATTAACAATATTTAGATAGAACGTCCTCTAATACAAACCTAACAATTCATTAAAAAATCACACCCGTAGATTAACAAAACCTTAGACCTGTAGATTAACAAAACTTTTTTTTTTCAAGTTAAATTTCTTTATTGAATGACCAAATTGAAATTATTTTATATATTGAAGGTAAAATTGAGGAAAACAATATAGATTAGGGACCATTTGAGCTTTTTTAAAAAATAGTTAAAAGAAATTGTTCCATAGGAAAAAATAAGTAGCTTACAAATTTAGTCCTTTAATTTTGAATGGTGTGTCAATCTGAACTTTAATAATGGTCTAATAACAAGTTGATTAATATTTTATTTTTATTTTTATGTCTAATAAACTAGCTTTAAAATGTCTAATGAACCATTTTAATTTTGTGTTTAAAACTGAATTTTACCTATAATTAACCTTGACCTTTCAAAATTGTGTCTAATAGAATCGTTAATTTTATTTTTTTACTGTCTAATATGAAAAAATTTAAATTTAAAAGAATAAATTTTTAATTTAACACATAAAAAAAAAATCTAAGCTTACACTCCACTTATATTGTTATACATGAACACTCTATTGATAGACCATATTCAGTAACAATTTTGTTTCTGATTTTTTTATTTTGAAAAATTAAATCTGCTTATTAAGCCTTTGTTTGACTAAGATCTTATTTGATAAGAATTTGTTTCCCTCTCAATTGTTCTAAAACAAAGGTCATCTCCAAATTGAAAAATAAAAAATAAATAAAATGATAAATGTAAGAGCTATCACACCCCACCGCATCCCCTAAGCCGAATCTAAAACTGACGAGACATCGAGAATTTTTCTCATTAAACTCATCAGAAAGTTCAAATGTGCTATCTCTAGAACGAGTTTTTTATCGAAGGATTAGGAAAAAATGGTTCTGGACCTCCCTCGGGAATGATTGGAAAATCCAAAACAAAAAATAGTTAGAAAATGCAGGCCATAAAAGAACGATTAAAATGCAGTTGTCCAAACAGTCCTGCAGTTCTTTTTAAGCATGAAGTGAGAACAGTCACAAGTCACAATTGGTTCAATGCCCATTCCTTTCCAAATACACTCAACAGTAAAAAGAATATCAACCCTTTTCTTTTCATATCAGTTTTGGTACAAGAACAAATCTTCAGAGAAAACACAACAAACCAACAAAGAAATGAAGAAATAAATAATGAAGAATAAACTTTCATTAAACATATGCAGAGGTGAGAGGTGAAACTCAGAAAAGAATGAACACAGCCAGAAGCCTCACCTGATGGAGATATGCACGGCTTCACTGCCATGGAGATGCAGTATCTCAGAACATGGTGTAGCTGTCGTCGTCTTCGTTCATCCATAAGAAACACAAAATGGCGATCACGAATACTAAAAATGATGAGAGGTCCATAGCCAGTGCCCCCCAGCCGATGATCCCGGCATGCTTCAGAATGATGGGGATGGCAATGCTTCCTATAGTCGAAGCTCCAGTCAAGAATTTCGTTGCGTTGATCCAGCTGTCTCAACRATTAGGATATTCGGAGAGAAGGGGACAAGAGTGTGAACTTTAGGAACATAAAAGTTTGTTTTTGATAGAATTTTTAATATTAAAAGTGTTTTTGACTGATTAAAAGAACTCATCAAATGAATTGTTACAGAGGCAAAAGTCAAACCTGTCGTTCGATTCGGTATATAAGGAAGAACTATCTGACCCCCCAAAGAACAATAAAGGCATGGGGAGAAGCACATACATTATCACTGCAAAGAATAATGCCACGATATTAGTCAAGAAATATATATCTCTTCTCCGCAGATAATATATTCCAAATTCAACACAGCTTGATAAAAAACAATTCATAATATATAAGCATCCATTATAGTCAACACATTACATTCAGTTTGGGTTTTTTAATCAAAACGTGATGAACGTTAATTTTACTTTCCACTTCATTCCTCCCTCAAATATAAGAAGATAAATCCACATTTGTACGGAAGAAAGAAACCAATGTTAACAGGTGAGAATAAGGAGATGTCCTGATTCTAAAGCCATTATACCGATTCTCTAAAACGCAGATTAAAAAAATCAATCACCACTCAACCCTTCAACCGATCTCTCTGGTTGAGAGGTTCATCATGTAAGAACCATTCAAAACCCTGGCTCTATCACTATGCGAATCATGTACCAGAGAAATACTGGAAAGAAAACTTCGAGTGGCAGTGCAAATGAGATGAGAATCATTTATAGTTATGTAATTAAAGGTATGTTTAAGAGTGCTTTTAAATAGTTAAAAGCACTTCCAATCAGATGTATATTAATAAACGTTTCCTCCCAAACATACCCGAAGTCACTTCACAAAACTAACAATTCCATTATTATAAGATTCTACAAATAAACAGAAGTTAAGTGGATGAAAAACATACACTCACATTGTTGATGGACAAACAAAAATCAGTATTGTAACTAGCATATGGGATATGGTATATATAAAAGGAAAAAAAAAAAAAAGTTAGCTGCAGAGAGATTTCACGTTTAAAAATGCTAGAAGATTGTCTGAGAGAGATTTTAGTCATATACCACTTAGCATTGGCCACCAATTATTGTACAGGGCACATGCCTGTCATAGTAACAAAAAATGATTTCCAAAACCAAGAATCATGAAGTTATTGCTCAGAAGTTGCAAAAGAGAATTCTACTGACCAATATCTGCATTACAATTCCTCCAGAAACCAAAATTGCTAAGAATGCCACCTTCCCCATACTAAAGCAGGCTTGCAAGGAACCTGGTAAGTCTGCCATTGGTTGGATAGCCTCACCTCATTGAGGTAAAAGCCTACACAATAGAATTCTACATGAGAAATCTATAAAAGGATAAGCAGTGAAAAACACAGTTTCATAAGCAAGTCAGTTTTACATATAAATTGACACTTTTTTTTTAATAACTGGGAGTCGGACATTACTCCCCTGTACCCAAGGACACCCGCGCCTGCCCGAACCTGATAAATATAAACTCACGATAAGGTTTAAACATGAGACCTCTAAACTAGTATGACCAAAAGACCACAAACCCTTGCCAACTATGCTACTCCCGAGGCATATAAATTGACACTCTGAATCGTATAACTTTTTTTTTTTAGTACAACATGTTGAAGGGATTCGAAGTCACAACCTCTTGGTTGGAGGTATATGTCAATTGCCGCTGAGCTATGCTAGCTTTGGCTTTGAATCATATAATTCTTCATTGAGCTGCATTGTTACTCAAACATCCATATTTACAACGACTGAGTAAAACTAGCAGAAGGGAGTCAAAATACTGGGATAATTTTGACATAGACAACAAGATAAATCTAGTGAGCATACATATGAGCATTTATAACAGAATAACTTGCCTTCATAAATAACAATAAAATCAATGAGAGATTGATATTCTTAGAAATCTAAAATGCTTAATGAACAGTGAAAATCGAAACAACTCCTCCCACAAGAATTCAGAATTCAACAACTCCTACATCCTTCCAATTCCTGTTTCATCTCAACCGTAATAGGCGAACGATTCTCGACCCACGTTTTTCAGAAGGGCAAACAATTATTTGCAGTGGCAGAGAAACTATCAAAATTGAATTTCAGCACCAGTTGCCGACGTTGATACATTGCCGAATTCTCTCAGAAAAGCAAAAAATGGGTACCTTGTGCAATCCGATTCCGAACACCGGGACGGCGTCTCAGCCACTGTCGAGGTGGAAATCGAATCAAGAGATTAAGTTGATGGACGAATTGATGAGGATAACTCCAAATAACTTTATTGTAATTGTAAATTTGTAAACTGTTGTCGATGTGGATGGTGCGAATAGAGAATAATGTTTAAAAAGGAACCAGGCGTTGAGTTATCGATTTATAGAATTGTTGATTTTTTTTTAAGTACACGCAGAACTTATAACTTATAATCTTATGGTTGAAGGTATATGTCAATCATCACTGAACTATGTTAACTGTGACATATGGATTACACTTAGTTAAAATAATGATTTAACATCAATTTTAGTGTGTAATGATTTATTCTTTGTATTTTTAATTACTAATAATTTAGTCCTTATAATTTATAATTTATAATAATTTAGTCTCTTACAAAATCTTGTCAAAATTAAGTATCGATTTAGTCTTCGTAGTTTATAAATATATTTGGTCATTCATCGATTTATCGATCTAAATGTGTTAGAAATTTAACAAAATTTTTCACAACGACTAAGTCATTACAAATTCAAAACTATTAAGACTAAATTGTTACGTATTATAATTTTATGACCAAATTTTTACAAATTTGGAAGTATAGAGACTAAATCGTTTCAAACCAAAGTTTATGGACTAAATCATTACTTCATTGAAAAAACAATGATCAAAAGTAACTTTTAACCATGAAATTATCGAAGATATTTTTAAAAATGTATCAAATAAATATTTCACCGTTTTTAAATAACTTACAAATTATTAAGGTCACGTTTACTTATCTACAATCGTAATGAAAATCAATCGTAACGAAAATCAATCATAATGAGGTCTCGTTTACTTATCCGCAATCGTAATCAATGAATATGAAAAATTTGATTTCCTATRGTGTTTACTACGAATGTAATCAAATGGTGGGATACACCTCAAATTTTGTAATCCAAATGTGTAATCTCATTAGACTCCTAGAACCTCATTAATCTCATTCTCATTCCTTATTTCGTGAACCTCACATATATATTATAATTAATGTACTGCTTTTATCCTATTATCTCTCATCTCATATAATTTTTAATTAGTTTTTTTTTTCTTTTATAATTTACTCTCCATTTATACTCCAATTCTTATTGGTTGATGTGATTTTATTATATAACAGGATAAATTAATATCAATAAATTTTTTAAATAGATATTATTACTTTTAAATATTATAATAATAAAACTTAATAATATATTATATTAAAGTTCGGTGGTTCTAAAAAAATATATATTTTATTACTATAAATTTTATTTTAATTACTCGTTATGTATTAATATTAGATGAATTGTTATAATAAAAAATATTTACTATCAATAATATAGTAATAAATTAAATTAAAATTTATTATTGTTGTAATTTAAAAAATATTAGCACAATAATATATTTTTAATTAACTAAAAGGAGAAAGGGGTATATTAGTAATTGTTATATATCTGATTCCGATTCCGATTCCAGACAGTTTTAGTAAACAATATCAAAAGAATTATGATTACGATTCCATAAAATTCCTAGAACATCAATGAAATAACCCATTACGATTGCGAATAGGTAAATGTGGCCTGAAATCAATCATAATGTTATTCCATTGACGTTGTTTACCATAAATTTTCTAAAATCATAATCAGAATCAAATATATGACAATTACTAATATACTCGTTTCTCCTTTTTAACTAATTACAAGTATGTTATTGTGCTAATATTTTTGGTAATAATAAATTTTAATTTAATTTATTACTGATAGTAAATATTTTTTATTATAACAATTTTTATATAATATTAATACATAATGAGTAATTAACATAAAATTTATATTAATAAAATATTTTTTTATTGATAGTAAATTAATCTAACAGTTAAATAAACATTAAATGATAAAAAGTAAAGTTGGATGGTATTATGTCAGAGTTATATTTTTCAGAAAACATTATCAATGACTAAATTATTATTATGCCGTAAAAGCAAAGACTGTAATATAATTATAATAATTAAAATTATCTGCTAAAATGTGGTCAAACTATCAAGATTTTCATTTCATTATGCATGATATGGATATTTTTAAATTCTTACGAATGGCTAAATTATAATTATGCCGTAAAAGTAAATACTATATTATATTATAATTATCCCTAATTAATGAAGTGTCAGTTTCAAACAAAAAAAAAATCAAAATTTTCATTTCATTATGCTATGGATATTTTTAAATTCTTACAGTAAGACATAAAATTAAGAATATGATATCATAAATAAATTGTTCTGATTAATTTAGTTTCAATAATATTAATATTATTAAATTTTACTCCACCAGCAAAATTAAAAGCTTATTTCTACACTGCTCTATAGCAGAAGATTAAAAACTACCACAGTTTAAAGAAAATACAAATCTAATAACAAGAAAAAAAATCAGCCTTGAAACATGTATTTGTGCCAAAGACTAAAATTAAATTATAAAAACATGTAAATAAGATATCAAAGTAAACAAAATTAATTGGTAGGATAAAGATATGTGATGCAATTTATATTTAATTAAAATTTTTTATAAATATGGTTTTAAAAAAATTATTTATTTAAAAAATATCATGTTGAGAATCAAGTCCGGTTAAGATATATCGTATATGGACATGTGAATATTGACATATTTATGAACAATCGTAATTAACTATATTTATACATATTCGTTTAAATAAAAAAAAGAACTATATATACACATATATATATAAACTTTAATACTAACTTAATCCATGCTTCTTAGCTCGGGATCGGGATAAAATAAGTGTTTTCACTAAAAAAAACATTTGTTTTTTCTTATTACAAAAAGCCCATCATAAACTAATCATTAATAATACTTGTTAATTTATTTTTATAAATTGTTGTATTAGTATTATGACATGTTTTTGAAGAAAAAAAATAAAAAAACATAAAAATATCCTCGAGGATCTGTCATTGTTTGTTTCAGAGGATTTTTAGATATTCGAACTTTTAGATATCTACAAATTTATACCTTCGATATTTTTAGATAACCACATTTGTTTTGTACTCGAAAATATGTAAAAACTATATATTGTTCTAAAAAAGTTTTGACAAATATTTATATAATTTTTTGTATGTAATTGATATATGTTCATGAAAGGATCCTTAAAGTCCCGTAAGATAGCCGAAAAATAATTAGCAAACACTTTGACAAGATGTTCGATTTTTCATGTCTTTTATCAATTTAGTTTATATTAATTTTAAATTTTATTTTGCACATTAATTTATATTAAATTGAAAATTTTATAAAATATTTAATACTAGCTATTAATTACAATTTTAACATGAAATTTTTTCCTATGAAAATTATATAATTGGTGACATTTTATTGAATTATTTGTTTGCATTATCAAACTAGAAAAAAGGATTGAGGGAAAGAATATTGGTTTCTATGAATTTTTTTTACACATATAATGAATGACAATTAATTTCCACACTATTTCTCAAAAAAGAAAAAATTCCACACTAGATAAATTGGGATATTATACCGTTTAATTGAAGTTTATTTTATATATAAATATACATGTTTTATTAGTTGAGCTATAGTCTAATTTGAACTAAAGTTACAAAATAAAGGAAAACAAATTACACATTTGATCTCGACATACTTTCTATTTGATTATAAATATTTTAAAAATTACATTTTTTGTCCCTATCGTTTGAATTTGCTTTCCATTTGATCCCTTAAGTTTCAATAACGACACTTTTGGTCTATTAAGGTTGGGATTTTGTTTATATTTTATATTTGAGGTTTCACAATCTACACTTCTACCTTTTAGTCATAGATTTGAAGTTAGGTTTCAGTGTAACTATTGAATTAAGTTGATCATTAGTTGATTTAACGAAAATATTACACGACTGAACAAAATTGATATTAAATGAGAGACTATTCGCAAATATAAATTAAATTATAATTTCATGGATAAAAATGGTTAGTTTTGAAACCATAAATACCAAATAGAAACTAAATCCAATATTTATAAATTAAAAGTATAATTTGCCAAAGAAAAAAAAAAGTTTTTTTTAATAGGAATGGAGAAAATGTATTTTTATAGAAAAATATCTTCTGACTTTTGTTTTCCCCATTGGTGTTTGTCAGTATAATTATTTATTTGAAAATACATCAAGCATGGGACCATCTTTATGACGCAATAAATGCTAGCTATTAGAAGTTTAGAATATAACTCCAATGTGTCGGTTAACTGTCTTTCTATTTTTAATTTTGTTAATTTTATTTCATCATTTAAAAATTTCTCTCTCTCTCAAAAAAAAAAAAAAAAACTTAATTATAAACTTACATGTAAGTAAGAATTCAAATCTTCACCATGTTATAAAGAATTTTTTATCAAAGAAAAAATCTACTATTGGCAAAGCAAAATATAATAATTCGGGCTAGTCTTCCGACCACCCACAGTTTAAATTATTAGTCACGATTAATTGAGCAAATTCATAGATAACTATATTCAGTAGAATCGAGCTGAATATAAAAATCATCATAATCTATATAAAAGATCATGAAATAGCTCATCTCATATATATCTTCTATTTCATTGTATAGGAGCTAAAAAAAATGGGTAGATAGTCTGTTTCAACGTGGAACAATGAGAAGGTCAAGCCCATAGATAATCGTATATCATCTGTCATATTAAATCGATAACAGTTTAACAGTGACTTAATTGATGTAAGAAGTACTCTTACCCAATAATAATATTAGTCCAAACCTATCAAGTTTATGCAATAGACCATGAATCTATGTTAATCTTATAAAAATCGCTCAAAAAATCAATGTTATTAATACTACAATGGTTGAGTTATGACACCTTGACAACCAAAATTAAATAAGTGACAATAAGGATGTATACGTCACGTTAATATTAAATTTAAATATATTTAAGGGGTAATTCTCTAGAATTAGTATAATATAGATTAAGTATTTTCAAATTGACGAGATCAAAATTGCACCCTTATAAGTTCATAAAATTGAACAATCCCTCTCTCTATTCTTTCTTTCTTTTTTGTTTTTTTTTCTTTTTGTGTGAGAATGAATAATAATCTCCAATTTAAAATTTAGAAATATTTTAGTTTTAATTTTTCTCATTAATTTCCCGTCAATCAATGGATCTCTACATTAGAAATCTGTCGGCGGGATAAATTCTGACCATATTTTTTTAATTCTGATTAAAATCTTCCGTTTCTTGTTTTCTATTTTAGTGCATCGATCCCACTGATCCTACATTCCCACTTTCCAGCGCCACTCTCGTTCTCTCCAGCTCAGTGAGGGCAGATCGGAAAGCTCGCCGGAGCCTCGTCGGAGATCGGCGGTGGTTGTGTCCGTTTGAAGGAATTCCGTCATTTTGTTTTTGAACTTCCAGATCCTTCGCACTCTGGCAGGTTCACGTTCATTGATCCATTAGATCTTAGCTACTGTTTTCTCTTCCGTTTATTCTTCTCGATGCAATCGTTTGAGCAGCTCCTTTTGCTTCATTTTGCTCATTTCTTTCTGGGTTTTGTCAATTTTCCGGTTAAATGAGTTTGATTCTGCTTAGCCATTGTATTGCTATGGAAGTGCTGAAATTCTCACTTAGATTGAAGTTAGCAAGGACTAAGGAGAAAGCAAATCAGATTTAGTGGACCCATTTGAGCTGACATATTTGTACTGTTGTACAAAATGTTGTTCGATCTGAATTTTTTTAAGTTAGTTTGAGTTCTCCTGAATATTTTTTCTTACTTGAGATTATAACAGGAGTAAAAAGAAGTTGAAGGGAAAAGCGAATCTGTACCTTTTCTTGGACGAATGTGAAAGTTTTATTCATTTCTTTTTTTATGAATGGTCATATTCTGTTTGTACGAATGACAAGGAGTCTATCACAGTCATGGTTGGTAACTTCAATGGTGGTTTTCAATTTTACTTACTTCATTATCCAATTTGTAGATGATGTTTTTCTGTTTATGTGTTACAGTTTTTATAATTCTTCCCACGTCTAAGTTTTGGATTTTGATGATTCGTTGAATCGCAATCTGACAAGTATAAAAATTGTTATAACCTTGAAATGGTCAGTGAAATGAAAATTATATCTTCTGTTTCGATTTCCATGGATTTCCCCCCATCTGTCAACTTGAATGCAAATCATTGGTTGCTTGATCATGGTATCTACTTGAAGTCCATGCTTCTGAGAGTTAGCTAAACTGTTGCAGGTTTGAGAGATTTGTTACATTTAGATAATGGGCTCGAAGCATAATTTGCCGGGGAACAGAACTCGGAGCCCAATATCTCTATTTGCTGTGATTGGTCTATGCCTCTTCTTTTACATTTTGGGAGCATGGCAGAGAAGTGGATTCGGGAAAGGAGATAGCATAGCAATGGAAATCACCAGGCTATCAAACTGCAACACTGTTAAAGAATTGAACTTTGAAACCCATCACAGTATCGAGATTATTGAATCTTCGAAACCAAAAATGCAGGTGTTCAAACCATGTGATGTTAAGTATAAAGATTATACACCTTGCCAAGAACAAGACCGAGCTATGAGATTCCCAAGGGAAAATATGATATACAGGGAAAGACATTGCCCTCCAGTAGAAGAAAAGCTGCACTGCCTCATTCCAGCACCCAAAGGTTATATGACTCCATTTCCATGGCCTAAAGGCCGTGATTATGTTCATTATGCCAATGTTCCATATAAGAGCCTGACAGTCGAGAAGGCAAATCAGCATTGGGTAGAGTTTCAGGGTAACGTATTTAAATTTCCTGGTGGTGGGACAATGTTTCCTCAAGGAGCAGATGCATATATTGATGAATTAGCATCAGTTATTCCAATTGCAGATGGTTCCATTAGAACTGCTCTGGATACTGGTTGTGGGGTACGTTTCTGACAAAAACTAATGAGCCGTCTTCCTGCAATAAGAGTGTCAATAGTATGGTTGAGTACAAGTATTTTACTAACTTCCTTCGCCACATTTGGATGATAATAAAGTTTATTTTATTAAGAATGTAAAGATTTGTGCATTATTCTACAAATGTCTAATGATTTTTTACCGTGTTCTATAGCATTCCATCTTTAATCTTCCAACTGCTTCTGAATTTAGTTTCAGATTGTACTTATTGAACAATTTTGTTGTATCCCTAATTACACTAAATGTGACACAGGTTGCAAGCTGGGGTGCATATTTGTTCAAGAGAAACATATTGGCCATGTCGTTTGCACCAAGGGACAATCATGAAGCACAGATACAGTTTGCGCTGGAGCGTGGTGTACCTGCTATTATTGGAGTGTTGGGTAGTATACGGCTTCCATATCCATCTAGAGCATTTGATATGGCTCAGTGTTCACGATGCCTTATACCATGGACTTCAAATGGTTAGTATCAGGAGCAATAAAACTCTGTGGTATCTTTTTTAAATTTTTAAGTGGTTTCCAATTTGTTTCTCTAATCTCTTTACTAGGAACACGGAATTTTCTAAAATCAATTAAATTTGGGAGACGTCTCTATCAAAAACCCTCAGACAAGGAACATCTTCTTGAGAAAAAAAAAAAGAAGCAGCAGCCATAAACTGGAGAGTCTTGATCAATTTGAAAGATCATTTGATAAAAAACAATAGTGAAGGGTTACCTTTACAAATTACAAGTATCATAAAGATTCCACAATTTCTCCCTAGCCAAAGAACCTAGCAGGTAGCTGTTATAGGTTTGATACACAAAATCATCTGTTTTTCCTTTAAAAGAATGACCTGTAAGCAGTTTCCACAAAGAGTCTTGAGCCTCATTTGGATAAGACCAAATAATACGTTACCCAACGATAAATTAAGAAAATCTCATGAAGTTAAATTGTTTAATAACATGCGGCAGTCATTATACTCTGTTCCCAAGATCCTAACTATCCTATCACTGCTTTTACTGATAATTTTGATTATACATTGATCTAAGTATCAATCCTTCTCTATGCTTTGAACTTGTGTATACAGATGGTATGTATCTTATGGAAGTTGACAGAGTCCTTAGACCTGGTGGATATTGGATCCTATCTGGCCCTCCGATCAACTGGAAGACGTATTACCAGACATGGAAACGTTCTAAGGAGGATCTAAATGCAGAGCAGAAGACAATTGAAAGGCTAGCTGAGCAGCTCTGCTGGGAGAAAAAATATGAGAAGGGAGATATTGCCATCTGGAGGAAAAAGGATAATGACAAATCCTGCAGAAGGAAAACTGCAAAAATATGTGAAGCAAACGATGCAGAAGATGTCTGGTGAGTTTCTGCAGATTGCTATCGGATATATACAGGTCCTGTGATATATGTTACTACTACACGCTAAATTAATTACTTTGTACATTGCTTTAGAGCTCATCTGTCTTTATGGTGTTCTATTCATTTTTCTTCCAAAGGAAGCAAGAAAAGTATTACGGCCATTTCATTATCTTGCATATAAGCTCCAACTTTTGGCATAATGAGTTAGTCTAATCCTGAAATGGCCCAGGACCAAATACTATCTGGTCTCTTGGTGGCATTATGGGAGGATAATCATAAAAGTCATCTTTATTTCCTATGCTCAACTTGAAAACTTAGGACTTCATTTTTTGGAGCACGGTATCATTGTACGTTTAGAAATGATCCATTTGACTGGAGATCAACAATAGTTGGGCGATATCTATGTTTGGCATCGAGTTCAACTTGTCTAATTCTGTATTGTTATTTCAAATAGTAGAGATGTACAAAACTTTAAAGTCAATTCTTGAGTTTGTATATTTTTCTAACCGTGACCCTCATTTTTGCATTCTCTCACTATCTTCTTTCTTTATGTATTATATTTATAGGTACCAGAAAATGGACACATGCATCACCCCTTTCCCTGAGGTAACAAATGCTGGCGAAGTAGCTGGAGGGAAATTGAAGAAGTTCCCAGCCCGGCTTTTTGCTGTACCTCCCAGAATATCCAACGGCCTGATTCCAGAGGTTACAGCTGAATCTTTTGAAGAGGACAACAAACTTTGGAGAAAGCATGTTAACGTTTACAAGAAGATAAATAACTTGATTGGCAGCCCAAGATATAGGAATGTGATGGATATGAATGCAAACCTCGGTGGATTTGCAGCTGCGCTTCACTCGAAAAATTCTTGGGTGATGAATGTTGTGCCTACGATTGCCAAGAACACTCTAGGAGTCATTTACGAGAGAGGTCTAGTTGGCATATATCATGATTGGTAAGTTCCTCTATCTCTTTCCTTTCCCAGTTATAGCCACTTGATTGAATTTAGATTTTCTGTAATCTTGATCTTTCTTACACAGATCTTTGAAACTAAACCATATTCATAGAGAGAAATCACAACATAGCTATAATTGGAACTGCAATTTGCATATTAAGTAAATTGGCTGCCTGCATTCGAGGCCTTTGGTGTTGAAAAATTCTCATCTCACAAACAGTATTTCGATATAAGGCGATAAATAGTTGCAGTTTCTAATGTTTATTGGAATTAGAGAAGAGACCTTTCAGACTCAAAATGAATTTTAACCCATAGGACTGGCTTGGTGGTGAGGAAGTTTTGTGCTAAAAAAAAAAATTCATTATTTTAAGAGTGAATGGACGTCTTCTGCTATGTAATGAGTTTATTGCCTTTAGTCTCAACTTGAGCTTTTCTTTTGTCAAGGTGTGAGGGCTTCTCTACTTACCCAAGGACATACGACTTCATTCATGCGAATGGTGTATTCAACCTGTACGAGGACACGTAAGTGTTTTAATCCTCTTCTTCTTCACTACATTGTCGGTAGCATTCGAGGCAATAGGGTTATTTGAGAATAGTTAATAATTGAGTGCCTAATAGTAATAGGAAATGGGACCTCCAGATTTTACTGCAGCCATATGCAGAACTGAAGTGACTATCTTTATTATATCTGTATATACATTAGGAGATGATACTTTTGGACTCAACAGTCAAAATGATTCAACTTGCACAGGGAAACGCTTCCTTGTTTATAATGAAAAATCAAAGGGCACTTGAAGTTGTTCTCCCTTTTATGTAGATTGCTAGAGAAGAAGTGCTTAGAAAAATGTGCCTAAGTTTACACTTGGCAGTAAAGTAATAGGCTATCAGAGTAGGATGTGTTCAAACACTACTATATTATTTTCTTCCCAATTGATATTGGTAGTTCATATGCTGGATCTCATGCTTATTTTCAAGCTCACAACTAAAGAAGAGTATTGTGATTATATTTAAACGATCAAATCTATCCTAATCCATCTTAAGCTTTGGGGTCTAATAGTGACATAACATCTCCTAATTGGCTCACGCGTTTGAAACGATAAATAGGTGCAATCTCGAGGACATACTTCTAGAGATGGACCGTATTTTGAGGCCAGAGGGAATTGTCATCCTCCGAGATGGGGTTGATGTCCTGAATAAGGTGAAGAAAATAGCTGGGGGCATGAGATGGGATGTCAAATTGATGGATCATGAGGATGGTCCTCTCGTGCCTGAAAAGATAATGGTTGCTGTTAAACAGTACTGGGTCGCTAGCAGCCCACATAACAGCACTTCCAACGATGCATAGATCTGATTGGAGAGTAACAAAATGCAAAGTTTTTGCAGCTCCTCAAAAGGTCCTTTTTGTTTTTAGATATTTATTCATGTGTAAGCTAGTGTGTTATTGGTAAAATAGAGAGAAACTTGTATAATTCTATTCAAGCAAGAAAAACTAAGATTGATCACAGGGATTAGGCAGGCTTAGTAATTTCACTTGCCCAAGTAATTGGGTCAAGGATGCTGAAGTGATCATGATATATGTAAGAAACTGAGATGCATATTGATGATTCATAATTTATTCACCAAAATTGGTTATAGATTTTACTCGTATTTTCTTCCATAGCGGCACTTCAAAAGTTTCTCTCAACTAGTGAAAACAATTTTCTTTAGCAGCTTTAGCTTTCGTGCTCTATCTCTCGAGTTTGACCTCATTTTATCTCTCGAGATTGTTCGAATGTATGTTCGAACTTTGACTTGTAGTAACTTCCATGTTGGCGTCGTCTTCTTAGCCAATATATTTTGACCCAACTATATTTTGATTAGTGTTAGCTATAGGCCTTTTAATAGATAGAAGATAAGTCCTATTTCGAGAATAGTGTTGACATCTTTTTTTAAGTGTGGTAATGTTGAGATTTGAGGTTTTTTCTTCATTAAGTTTTCAGTTTTTTATATTTTAAGTTTCTTTCTTTAAAGGTTAGATTTAATTTTATGTTATTTTATCTTTTAATTTTCAGTTGTATGACCAGTAAGTTTTAGGTTTTAAAGGTTGTTTTAAGTTTTATTTTGGTTACAATATAGGTCCGAGTATTGTAGATATATAAAGGTGAACTTCCATGAGAAGTTTGTACCACCAAAAATATTTGTAACACATATTTGGTACTATCACATTTATACCACATTTCTTGTATCACCAACATTTGTACTTTCATTTGTTTATTCACAATTTTGTATCAGTTCAATTAGAAGTTGATTTTTCCTTCTATTGATTTCTATTCTCTCACATTTCATATTTCTTCATTGTTCATCAAACATTGAGAATTTTATTATCACTCTCATTTTTTCAACAGGTAACTCAATTTAATTTTCTTGCATGTATTGAAAAGCTCCAAAGAATATATTATTGTCTCATAGCATTGAATATTGTTCTATGGTAGGTGAGGTTCTATTAAATTGAGACAGTCTCAATTACATTAGACTAATTTTTGTTCCTACAAAGTTTAGTTACTCTGTTTTGATGAAGCATATCATAATGATAACCATCTTAAATGATTTCTTTTGAGTGTAAATACAAATTTAAGTCTTACAAACCTAACTTAGTGATTGTTGATGTGACTAGATTTAATATCATAGTACATCTAAAAATCTTATTAGTTCAAAAAAATGTTGTTGATGTTGACCCAACATGAACACTTAGACCACAGTTTAAGTGCTCGACGTTAATCTTTATGGCGTGCATCTTGTGCCTTCATGTAATTACGTGAGTGATAAGAACTCTAAAATATTAGAGTTTGTCTTGGATTTGCTCTTTGAACAAAGTGGGACAACTTAATTCATAATGTCCTATAAAGACTAACATGTGTGAGATCCTATAAGAACAATATGTCAATAATTGGTACGTAAAATTTGAAAACAAAGAGCCAATAGGTTCGTAGTTCAGTGTTACATCTTGCTCATTTTCTAGAAGTGTGAGGTTCAATGTCTCATCGTCACACTTAATCAATTAAACCAACAAAATCAAACAAAGAAATGTTAAATAATCAAGCAAAAAAATGATTTTTAAATTTAAGATGTTATTGAATGCAGTTTAACTGGGTAATTTCAGTCATAGTACTTGAGGGGTAGGGTTTGATTATAGGGTAAAATAAATTTTTGGTATCTGAAATTTGGAATTGGTGTCTATTTGATATATGAAGTTTCAAAAGTGACATATTTAGTTTTTGAAGTTTGGAAATAGTTTTAAATGATCATTTAGCTCATTTTCTTATCAGATGATGAATAGAAAAATGACATGACGGTTTAGGTGCTAACTGTATTTTCTAATACGGTGAAATATGTTAGTTTAATATTTTTATTACTGGACTTATCTCTCTTTCTTCTTCCTCCCCTTCCCGACTCCATCTCCTCGCTGTTGCAACTCTTCTCATTGGTCGTTGCCGCTAAGTCTTCAATGTCTTTCCTCGTTCGCTGTCGCCCGAAATGGTTATATTTGAATATTCTCTCATATCATATCCTATGTTGCCATCTTCAAATCTCAAGGAGTGGACGAATTCTTCCTGTGAAAGAAAGATGAATGACTAGACTGAGGGTCCCAAATATGAAATGACTCTTTGTTCTAGTCCAGATCCGAATGCCGATATTTTTCTATCAGTCAATTAACAGTCAATAATTTAAGGACCATTTAGAATCACTTTCTAAACCTCACAGACATTTTAAAACTTCAAATTTCAAATAAACACCTACTTCAATGTCGATTCTATTATCCTAAAAGTATTTTCGATGTACTTTTTTGATCAAGCACAAATATTCCTCGTTCGAACATTACGGATATTCCTAACATTTACAAACCATTCGGTCATGACTTCTAAAATCTACACTACAAAAGCAAAACAAGTAGTAAACTTATTTTTTAGATAACAAAAAATTGGACAGAGAAAAAGACCATACTTGAAGAAAGATAGATAGTTCTAACTTTTCTATCTATCAAAACTTTATTCTAGAAAAAAAGTTCATAGTCATTTTACATTATTGAACAAAGACCCTATCTTGGCCCCATCACAAATCACCATCACCATCACTCACATCACCACCGTCTGATCTTTTCTCTCTCTCTCTTCTTTCTCTCTCTAAAAAAATCTAATGAATTCAATTATTTCATCCTCCACTACTCCCAACACTCACCAACCCCATCCCCCCTCCTTTTTCTGCTATCCTCACAGCCACAACTCAAATTGTGGTGTCACAGTCACCCATGTGGCCCTTCCTCCACCGTCCATTTAGTCCATCATCTCACTGTTACAAAAAGGATAGCACCAGTAGATCACAGCCCCACCAGGGAGTCACCCCCACGTGCCAATCTTGATTCTGGGCTCCACTTGTCTTTTCTTTATTACACATGGTGGAAATCAGACGGTCCAAATCAGCCAGAGCCCACCAGCCAATCAGAATTTTCTGATGTTTTTTTTAATATGATGGGACCCACCTGAGTTTTTGTTGGGATGTTATTGTATTGGTTTAGAGCCGTTGATGTGAGAAGGGACGGTGGAGATTCCTTGTCTGGAGAGCTCAGACAGTACACTCTCTGTGGAAGGTGGTTTCAGCCCCAAAGGCAATGGCAGCCATGGCTTGCTGATTGCCTCTTTCACCACTTTGTCAATTTCTTCATCTGCCTGCATCAACAACAAAAATACCTTCACCATTTTAGTTCATCTTTCGATCCCGACAACCCGGGCCCTCGTCGAACCGTATTTGGAAAACGGTAACAGGACAATCTAAAGCCTGATAAAATACTCAAACAAGTTGACAAAGGGATAGAGTGATCCAACACATGTCTCAATCAAATGGGATTTGGTTCCTTATCCCATCAGTTTGGTTTGTCCCTTTCTATTCCATTTAGATAGAAAGTTTCAAGTGATGTAGCCACCCTCATGTATCATGCCAAAAAAGACTTCCTTTTTTTCGATATGATTGAGTTTTTAAATAGAGATCTAGAACGTGGTCGTAAACGCTTAGGGTGTTCGATTTTTAAAGTTTGGATAATTGAATTTGTACACATTGTATGGAGATGTGTATAGAAATAGTTAGCATGTAACTTGAGGATTGGGTTTAAGACGTAGCCGATAGGATTAGCATAACAAAGCTGCCTATTAAACACGTGATACAGACCAGACTTTTGAGTCAACGTTGGGTCAAGGACAAGCGACTTTATAATCATACTTAGGGATCAGTTTCGACGCAAAACTTTAAAAGAGAGTATAGAGAGGTGAAGAAAAGCAAAGTTGTATTACCAGTTGAAGATCGATAGGACTCAATGCAATGCCGTAGCTTTTATCGAATGCATCGGCATTCTCGAATCTGGGAATATGCTGCTGATTCAAGGAAGAATGTGGGAAAAGAAGAGCTTATTAGATGAATCTAATAATCAACAGGCACATGTTGGATATGCAAATAAAGCTATATACCCACTTGAGGATGAGAAGAGAGAAGGCTGTGAGAAGATGGTGTCACAGGGCAACCCCATGTATCAGCATGCATCTGAAAGCATGATCACATATGTTCAGAGGTCAAAAAACTGCTAAAGCTCCTATAAAAATCTCCTGATTATGTGTGCTAGTTTTCTTACCCCAGGATACGACTTCCACGGCCAAATTTCTGGCGGTTGCCATGGCGGGTAACCAGGTGGGATCCACATCTGGATGCCTGGAGGGGGGCAAGCCATATGACCCCACGACGGGTACACGGGAGCAACCGGGATTGGATGATTTGAGTGGTAGGAAGGGGGGAAGGCCATCACAGGTCTCTGTGGATAGTAGTTTTTCCTCATTGGATCCTTTGAATGAGACCAGCTCCCATCTTCATCTTTTGGCAAGATATGTCTCTTGTGCATCCTATACTTCTGCTTAAGAGAGAACAGAGAATTAAGTATTGGGAGGGCCGAGTTTTATTTTAGCGGTTTTCAACTACAAATGCATGCTCTTTCCCTTTAAGATAATCATGCTGAATCTAATGATGTAACAAAACTGAAACTTCAAGTGAGTCATAAAACATGAGCTCAAACGGCGACTAAGAAAGCAAATTTTGATACCGACCTGAAGATGGCTTGCTACATTATGCCTTGTCAAGCCTTCAACTTTCATCAGCTCTAGGATTCGAGAAGGAATTGCTTGATTCACTCCAAGTTGTTCCACTGCCTGTACAAACTTTCGGTGTAATTCGGGCGTCCAGTCTACCTGATCCCAAGATAAGCAAAATGAATGTAGAAATCCAAAGAACCTTTTAATGACGAGATTCAAATTCAATTCAAATCAAGGACGTGTACTTCTGAGTTGAAGTTAAGGATATATACCTTCAGCTTCTTCCTACTACCTTTCGTCCCGCACAGATTACCAAGACCGCTCTTGCTCTTGTTTTTATCGGAACTGCTAATTCTGTCTCGATCATGTAATTCGTGATCGATGTTACTTGCAGCCCGACAACCATCAGCAGAGTTCTCTTCCTCTTTAACTGCTTCATTAACAGGTAACTGAGAGTTCTCCACTTGAGATGTACCTTCACCAAGTGTGTTGATACAAGTAGTTTCGACAGATTTAGACGACTCCCCGTCTTGCTCCCCGCACTCTTTCTCGAGCGAGCAGTTCATTTGATCCTGGCAGTCTCCATCATCCACCAGTCGCATTCCATGCTTTTGCTGAGGAGTTGAGGGAGCTGGATACTTATCACTTCCTTCTAGTAGCTCACGATCATCGATATCGTCCCCATTGAAGATTTCTAACTCTTTTGGGACTTGATTATCGTTTTTGCTGTTTTCCAATTCAAGGTGGAGCATGGAGGCAACAGATTCTTTGATAGGCTTTAAAGAACTTGGGATGGCGCTCGCGCCTGCATTGAATGCCTGCTTAGGATTAACATATCAGAAAATTTTGAAGCTTAAAACATTCTTCACTACTGATAATGGGTTGGAAAATTGTTGCAACAATATAAACAGACCTTATGAACAACATGCTGCCATATATTCCTCAGTTTGTCCTCAGAGAGCGGTTTCTGAAGGAATTCGATTGCACCAAGCTGAAAATAGGCCATCAAAAACACTAGGTCACAAGTTCAAAGAAAAGGAATATAAGTAAAAAACCAGAATCATTAAATGTCCGGGGAGAATTACCGCTATGCACTTCATCATCGTGCTTAGGCAATGGATACTTGAAATCACTGTTCACAAATGAAACTCTCTCACATCAGAGACCATAAAATCTTAAAGTTCCAACAAGTTTCCTATCTTTCAATATCTATATGAAACTTGATAATGAGTAGCAGTGGCTTTACAACTTTCACTGTCAGCAGTGGATTTACAATCTAGAACAAAGAAAATTACAAGATCAGGTTTCCTGAACATACTAATGGTAGGCAAGTCCTTAGCAGCTTCAAGAAACTTAAAACTCCCATCGTGACTGCTTGTCGCTACCTGTAACCAAGCGCAACATCATGCCATTAGAAAGGTAATCAAGACCAGACTAACTAAAGAAGTTTTATAAAGCAGCGCCATAGTGATCCACCCGATCGATCCAATGTGCAAGAGAGTGCTATAATATCTTCCAATGGAAAAAGAACGAACTTGAGATAAATTTCAATCAGTTGTCAATCATTACCTCCACAATGGCGACGTGAAATGTCTCGGGTTTGCTCAAAATGGCTGACAATGCATCATTCTCATTGCAGAAAGTCACAACTGTAATGAATATATCAAAGGTTTCAGATATATGCACAAAAAGATATAAACGAGAAGACCTTGCGATTCGAGTAGCTAATTCTTTTGATTGTATTTTCCAAGGTTTTCCCAATTCAATTAACACAATGGTTTTGGACATGAATTGCTTTGATTGGTAATGGTGCTCTTCTCAAAGTAAGATTGATCTTTAAATGTTTTCTGCATTTATACCAAGCAACCCCAAAAAGACCAGATTCTCCACACACAAAAATAGAGGAGAAAAAAAACTGGGAAGGAAGTTTAGAGGAAATGGGTACCTAGACAGCAAAACACTAAATCAAGCAAGTCAAGTGGTAGGGTAGATGGGTGATTTTGGTAAAGGAATTATTTTTATTTAGTGGAAAATAGAGTTGTATTCTATTTTTTCACGTGTTTGGGAGCATATTTAGAATTTCAAAACACTAAAATTATGTAAATGCTATTTTCAAAAGTTATACTTGGATTACGAAATCCATACTGTTTTCAGAAATTCACTAAATTCATTTGATTCGGTGAATTTGAAATAAGCAATCAAATTTGGATAACATCTCAAACATGTCCTGAGATAAAGCTAAATTTACAAATGGTGATTTTTTTTTCTTTTTTGGGAAGAACAAGGATGGGGGAGGGAATGCAATGTCTCACCAACATACTCCATTTCCTCCAGCTTTGCTTTTATCTCAGCAGCAGAACTGCTGTCTCCATCAAGGAGGAGAACTCTAAGCCCCTTTGGAAAATCTTTCCACCCGTGTAAATCACTAGCGGTGCAAACCATAGCTCGTTTCGCATCGTTTCTCGAATCACCGAAAAAAAGCGTTGTAGATCACAGCTTATCAACACCAAATAAGCTCTCTGCATAACCCAAAATAGTTCAAAGGACACTTCATCGTTGCCTGTTCTATAATCTAGACAAGTACCCTACAAGTGTAGATCACATCCAAGCTATAAAAGTAACAAATAGTAGTCGAGACACTCGAAGAAATTGAAATATTTATTCAGAAAAAATATTCCCAGTAGAAGTATAAAGAACTTAGAGATCTGGCAGGGAAAACACATCAGACAAACATGATATCAAAAGTTCTATGCAGTCTTTGAACAGTGATCCAAAACATCTTCTCACAACTAAGGATCATGTTTAAAGGGGCCATCTGCCATTGAACTGAGTGGCAAACTAAGCAGATGAAACCTCAGAGTAGCAAGGAAACAACCAGATAAACTAGAGCTAAGGAGACATGACAGTTGACTGAGTGATCTAAACTTAGAGACACAATAACTGAGAGAGATCTCCGATTGAAACCATTCACTTGTACTGCAGAGGAAAGGATTTTCCATAACAATGGAGTAACTGTAAGATCCCCCAAAAAAGCAAAGAAAAACAAGCAAAGAAACAATCCATTAAACAGAAAAAGGAAATGGAGGGAGAAAGAAAAGGGGAGAAGAAACAAAAAGGGAACAATCTGGGGGTAGCAGATCCCAACTCATCCATGCAGATTACAAGAACAAAAACCCACAAAACCCCACAGAAAGAAAGATGAAAAATCTCCATTTCTTCAGAAAAATGAGGTAATGAAACAACGTTACAAGACAACAAAGGAGGCTCATCTTTCAGTTTTCACTACCTTCAGAGAGAGAGAGACAGAGGAAATGGCTTCTGGTCTTCTGAAGCAGCCCCTCTTCTACCCAATCCCAGCGAGAGCGAGAGAGAGAAGGATTTCAACAAGCAAGTTCAGCCCAGCTTCTATATAATGTCACGGACCACAGAATATGCTAAAAAGGTTTTGCACTGTTAAAAGGTCAATATTGCTTTTTTCGGGCACTTGGCTGAGTTGCTCGCCCTTTTGATGAATATCCAAAGACATCTAAAAGTTAAAAACAAAACAAAAAAAAGATTAAAGAAAAAAACAGCTCCTTTTTATTTTCTTCCGCTTAAAAAGATCAATCCTTTCACCCCCCTTTTAGGCAATGAATTCAATCTTTAGTCTCTAAAGAAAATCCCCCCATTTCCCAATTCTCTTTTGGATACTTCACCAACCCAGAAAATAAAATTAACCCAACAATTATTGCAAAGTTTATATACATAAAAACTTGTCCTTTTTCAAGCAAAGGCTATGTTTATCATTAAAAGTAATGTATGGAAATTTAATGTAGTTTTGAATAGAATGGGGTTTTTTTCAACTTCTGATGTTTTAATTTATCCATCTACTCTTCCTGTGGATGCTATTCCATAGGACAAAAACAATGAACATATTTATGATGTCTATATTTTTGCTTATGATTGTGAAATTGGAACTCATTTTGGAAAAAGAAGGGACCATGGCTCTATTTTGGTTGGTTGGTTGTTCATTTTTTCAAATCATGATGTGCTTATATGCATACAAAATAGATACGATGTGTAAATAAATATCCAAAAGGTTGTTCTTATTATTCTAAAGTCATTGGCAATAATTTTGACAAATATTGTATTTGAATTTTCTCTATCACTTTTCTTTCTCGCACGATGAAAGAGAAAAAAACAAAGAAAACAAAGAAAGGAAAGATAATTTTATTGAGATGGTTTAATTTTTAAGTAAAAATAATCTACTAATTATCAGGTGAATGTTTACTAAAATAGTATTTTTAAAACGATTATAAAATGTTTAAAGTAATATTGAAACTTTGGAAATAATAAGGATATTTAAAAAAAAAAACAAAGTTAAGGAGTATTTTATTTTATTTCAGTGGACTACATTGAAAGTTATAACTTATTTACTTGAATTTATGGAGGGTATTTTCGTCAATTCAGCTATCCTTGAGAATTAGTTAATCAAGTTTTAAGTTGGTAGTTTAGTTCGTTATTTGTATTTTATTCAAGTAATTAAATGTAATTATCAGGTGTGTGAAGCTCTATATCCTTATGATGTACCCCCACTTTTAATATGGGCCGACTACGTCATCATAAAATGGATTCTTTTTTTCATTATTTTGAATATGTTTTTTTTTTCTAAAAAAAAATTACAATAAATAAATGTGAAATTATATAAAATTATGGCTGGATGGATAAATTATTTTTTGAAACCAAATTAAATTAAACATACATTATCCGTGTGTGTGTGTATATCCGTATGTTATATATATTATATTTTTTATTTTTTAAAATTTTGATGTTGTTGGTTGAACTTTTTACAATTTAATTGTTCTATAAGTTACATGTTCATAAATAAGAATGGTATACTTTAAATTTTCCATTTATAGAAGAAAAACCAACGAGGAGAAATAAAATAGATTATATATAGTGATTCTTTATTATTGAGATTAAATAAAATGTTTAATAAAAGAAACCTATCAAACTATTACTGTTGAGTTATGCTTGCTTTTGACATGTTGAATGTATTATTTAAGATTATGTGATAAGTTAATTTCAAGCATATTTAAGTGTTTAGTGGCATGGGCATTGAACGGATAGAGTTAATGACAAAAATCTATTAGACTAAAAAGTAAATTTTTTTGAGATATATTTGAAATTTTTTATAGTACGTGAATTAGATAAGTATAATTTAAAAAATGTTGGGATCTATTACAAATGGTTTCAAATATATATATACATTTTTGCAAAAGTAACGGTATCAAATATAGAGACTAATTATTAATTAGACACTGTCTTAAAGATTTAGGATCAAACTTATAATTTAATTTTTATAATTATTGCTAATTTTTCAAGTATATCTTTTGGAATAACTAATAAATGTAGTATCTAAAATAATAACTATATAATAAGGACAAAACTATTATATATATATATATTTTTTTTTTTTGCTAATTTTTATTTTAGTTTTGTCCTTATTGTATATTTCTTTTTCAACATATTCTTATAGTCAATAACGGATAAAATTCTTAAATTATTTCTAACGTGACATTAAAAAATATATATCCGAATGGTTAAAGTGCAATCGAAAAATATTAATACATAAGGACAAAGCTAAAATATATAAAATATGGGGGATTAAATCGAGAAAATTGATACAAATTTAAAAATAAAAATTTTAGACAATTATTCATCATTTAGAGCGAAGATGTGACGTGATACCAATTGAAAAAAAAAACCTCAAGTTTATAGGTATTAATTTTTTAATTCTAATTAATGTTTTTTTACCGTTTCAAAACTAAAAAAAAATCTAGTCACTCCACTGGGTATATTGGTTCAAAAATGTGTATATCATTTCTTAAAGGGATGACCATGTTAGGTGGCGGGTATGTAGTACAGATCGTCTCCCTACCACAATTTTTTTAAAAAAATAATATAGATTTTAATTATAAAAAATTGTGGGTGAATCAGTAGAAATTTGATAGAAGATAAAAATTGTAACATTTATCTACGTTTAGACTCTAATTTGTCGAAATTCAAAATTTAAGGTGAAAATAGATATATCTTATCGAGCTTTAAGTTAAGAGACTGAAATTTCATCCCAAAATTATATGTTAAACTTAACCCAAAAAAATAAAATAAAAGGTTGGGGGAAAATCAATTTTTACCCAAGTATCCTAATTTAATGAAAATCAAGTATTTCTAAAAAAAAATGAAAATCAAGTTTCACATAAAATTAAATATAATTAATACACAAAATCGACAATTAAATAACTCTATCTAAACTTACAAATTAAAAAAATCATACTCTAATGTGATTTTTATTTGAATCATATCATATGAATTACATACTAAATATATATTTTATATTAACATACAGGTGAAAATACTTTTTTCAACAAAATTTCAAATGAAAATGTATGAAAGGTAAAAATTTGCGACAGTTTTTAAAATCTATGATAAAAATTACAAATTTAAATTTGAAATAGAACTTGATGAAATGAAAATTTAAGGTAAAAAATCGATATATCTTACCAAATTCAGTATTAAAAAATTCAAAAACTAGAAAAGAAAAGTAATTGCATGGAAGGATGCGTCAACGTCATGGAGTTAAGGTGGATGGATAAAAAGAGTGGAAAGGAAGTTAACTCTCACGTGAAACTCACGTGCCTCTTGTGACTTTTTTTCTTCTTGTAATTTAAATTTTTTTGAAACTTGAAAGATAGATGTATCTATTTACTTTCTAAACTTTAATTTCTTTTTTTCCAAATATATCTGAACTTTTAATTTCAATTACAATGAATTATTGTTTACATCATAACTTAAATATTCATGTGATATATTTTCTCTGCTTTAACAATTTGTGTAGGGTGAAATTCGATTAACCAGTTGAATTAGGTTTAATATTCATGTTATGTACTATTGATTTGATTATTGAGTAATAATTTGACACATCATAACATTAGAAATTAGAAAAATTAGATAAAGCAAGGATAGAAGAGGTAAAAATTCAATTTTTCTGTGTCATCCCATTAGAGTTGATTCACCTAGGTTATTTTGTTAGGCTACCTAGCTAGTGTCAAATTATCACCCATTAGTTCAAAATGGGAAAGTGGAGGACAACCACACGAAACTGAATCATATTGCTTTATTTTTCCTAATTTTTTTTTACCAAACTCACAACCTCTTGATTAGAAATATATGCCAATTATCTTGAGTTGTGCTCATTTTGGCATGTTGCTTTCTTTTTCCCAATTAAAAGTTAGAAATTTTGGATTTTTAATGTGCGAAAGAAAGTGAATTGATGAATTTAATTACATTTCATTTGTCGTTTGTATCTTTTTGAGTTAAAGTTACAAAGTTACATTTTTGTTACGTAAACTTTTTACATATGTGTTTAATTTTTTGAGAGATCACACTTTCTCATTTGAGTTCTTCATCCTCTCGTAAGAATTCTTTTTTTTATTATTTTTATTTTTAGTGTTGTTCTTATTTATGTTGAGAGCAAACGTCTAAGAGTTTTGCTAGATATTAGTAGTTTGAAATTGTTGTTCTACCAGAGTTAGTCGTTGTATTCTACTAAGACGATCGTTGTAGTCTGCTAGCAATTTATGTAGAACGAATAATTGTATAGGGCGTATGTTCATCGAATATGATAAACGTTAAATTTGAATATGGATGAAAATGTGGCAAGATTGGAGATGCCTTCCACGTATATATCTTTGTCTTGCACGAGATTGTAATCCCATGTCCACCACCATTTTAGGGAATGGAGATATCCCATTAATGCATAGATTAGTTCCTTGGGTAGTTCTATGTTGGCTTTTGTTTGTGTTTATTTTATATGTTGCTTTTGTACATACTCGAGGTAACTTCTGTATTTAATCTGTGTTTTCTCTTAAAAGAAGTATGATCCTCTTGAATTGGTCATCGATGGATTCGTTTGGTTTGTATCCTATATATATATAGATGTATTGTTGGAAAAATTACTTGCTAAAAATATTTTTCCCTTCATACGATAAGAGAAATATAGAGAAAGCGTAGTAAACGACAAAAGAGATTTATATTAGTTCACCCAAACTATGGGTTACGCGTCTAGTCTTTCGCCACAACGGATTCCATTATGATATTGGGATAATACAATGGACAAATATAATATTCTGTCAAATCTAGAGGCCTTGACAAAGCTACCTACTAGGAACTACAACAATAGAATCTTAGGGAACACGAATGAAAAACCTCATCAAATACTCACGAGAATAGGCTGCTGACGATGCTCTACAACCTTGGGATCTCGCCTCTGAAACTCTACCAAATACCATTGTCCCTGTCCTCTGAAAATTCGTGCACCTATACGTTCAACTGTGACTTTGATATGCAACAACACATGAACGAAAGGACTCTATTTA